CGTTTTCACCTGGCTCCACATCTGCCCACATGCTTTCATCTCCTGTTCACACGACCTTCTCCATGTCACTCTCGAACTGACGACCAACTCACCGCTCCCCACTCGGGTTCCACTCGAGCGATGGCCTGTCTTGTGATGTCACTTGATGGTTTGTTTTCTCAGAGTATGGCCAATCCACCTATATTTCTTCCTGCATGTTTGTTGCACAAACGACTCCTGGTTGGTTCATTCCAAGAGATCCCTGTTGTTGATTTTTTCTGGCCATCTGATCTTGAGTATTTAGCGAAGACAGCTGTTGATGAAGGTGTGTAGTTTGTTTTAAGTGCCCTTCGTGACGCGTCGCCAAGTCTCTGATCCGTATAGTGAGTAGCACTGACTTCACATTGGAGTTGAAAATCCGGATCTTATTTTTCATGCTGAGCGCCAAGTGTTGACCTCCACACAGACTTGAGAGTAGTGAAAGCTTGTCTTGCTTTTCCAATTCTTGCTTTGATATCCTCGTCAGTTCCGCCTGTAGTTGAAGTGATGCTTCCCAGGTAGGTAAAGGAGGTTGTTTCTTTCAGGTTCCTCCCATTTATACTGATTGTTGTTGTTGCTGTTGGTGGTGTTGTTCAAGAATCTTCATCCCCTCTGTTTTCTCTATGTTCACCTGAAGGACGTCCTATCTTCTCTGGATGCTTCTTCTGACAACTTGTTGCTTTTCACTTTCATACCTTCCAGTTTTTAGGGAATCAGACATATATCATCAGTGGAGTCCAGATCATCCAAGTTTTTTTTGTGTGGATCCATTTTATGCCTGTTTCCTCACTGCCCAATTGAATATTACACTACGTCTTTTAAACATCAATAAATCTGACTAATGTGTTGTGAAAGACCCAAGTGATGCTAAGAATCTAACAAAAAAGATCTATCTTTATTCATCTTTCAAGTGTTTTGATTCTGAAATATACAAATTGCAGAAATTTAGTCAACAAATTCTAATACAGATGAAATACAGCTAGAATATTCTAATTAACTCTTAAAAAGATTTTTGTTTTCATTCATTTATTCATAAATAACCAGATGAAAAGGTTAAGAGGGTAACATACAGACGCACATAAAAAATGCATCCGTAGGTCTTGTTTTGATGTTAAGTACTATTTTTTTCCTTATTTATGCTACCTTATCAATCAGTTTACTAATTAATTTAAACAACTTTGACAGGTAAAGGTCTTTTATTTCTACGAGTTTCTTATTTCTTATTATTTTTTATTGAAATTACCGGTAAAATGTGATTTTCCCCCAGCATAGAATTATTCCGTAATAATTCGGAACCACTTGTCACACCTACTCTGTTTTTTGACAAGATGAAAGGAGACAGAAACGCAGAGATAAATAGATGGATAGGGAATTTAGATAACAGTGGTTTCGTGTGTCTGTACTTGTCTGTGTGCAACTATCTGTCTGTCATGAAAGGTAACCAATTCAAGACAAGAAAAGATTTTGTAAAGTGTTACTTAATGAATAAGTTGTATTTTGAAAATAGTTCTAATACAGAAGACAATTGTTACACGTTATGTTATGTATGTACCACAATTACCTGATATCTCATTATTACATTATACTACTAGTCTTTTGATGAAATATATGGATGTTTTAAAGTGATGGATTATCAGGGAGTTAAAAAAACAACAGCTGGAACATCAACTCCAAACTAGTACAGATAAACTGATTCCAGAGTTTTAAATTTCCTTCCCATTGATTAATTATATTGGACTGAAGTGTTCACTGTCACTTGCCATTTCGGCTGCTTCAATGATGTCTAGAGATTAACATGTGATGTTTATTTTGGTTGGTGGTGACTAGTACTGAAATCCAGGATGCATATTTCCCCCCTATTTTAGAAATCGACAGTTGATTTGGAAACTACTACGCTACTATGGGGTGCTACTGACAATTATACAACTCATCCAACAGCTGTACGACAATGCTGCATGCCAAGTAATCCACAACGGGAAACTTACGGAATCCTTCGAAGTGAGGACAGGAGTAAGACAAGCTGGCTGCCTACTATCGCCAATGATCTTCCTGATTGCAGTAGATTGGATAATGCGACAAACAGCGGGCAATGAGGAAACAGGCATAAAATGAACTCACACAAAAAACTTGGAGGATCTGGACTTCGCCGATGATATATGTCTGACTCCCCACAAACTGGAAGATATGCAAGCGAAAAGCAACAAGTTGTCAGAAGAAGTATCAAAGATAGGACTTCAGGTGAACATCGAGAAAACAGAGGTAATGAAGATTCCCGGCCAACACCACCAATAGCAACAACAACAAACAACAATCAGCATAAATGGAAGGAACCTGAAAGAAACAACCTCTTTTACTAACATGGGAAGCATCGTTTCAACTACAAGCAGACGGAACTGACGAGGATATCAAAGCAAGAATCGGAAAAGCAAGACAAGCTTTCACTACTCTCAAGTCTGTGTGGAGGTCAACACTTGGCGCTCAGCATGAAAAATAAGATCCGGATTTTCAACTCCAATGTGAAGTCAGTGCTACTCACCATACGGATCAGAGACTTGCACTGCGCGTCATAAAGAGCATCTCAAACAAACTACAAACCTCCATAAAGAGCTGTCTTCCCTCAATTCCACTCAAGATCAGATGGCCAGAAATGATCAGCAATAGTGAGGGATCTCTGGGAGCTAACCAACCAGGAACCGATTGTGCAACAAATAAGCAGGAAGAAATAGAGGTGGATTGGCCATACTCTGAGGAAACCATCAAGTGACATCACAAGACAGGCCATCGTTCGAGTGGAACCCGAGTGGGAAGCGATGAGTTGGTCGTCAGTGCGAGGGTGACACGGAGGAGGTGATGTGAATAGGAGATGAAAGCATGTGGGCAGATGTGGAGCCAGGTGAAAACGTTGGCAGAGAACCAAACGCAATGGAGATGTGTGGCTGAAGTCCTATGCTCCTCTAGGAATTAAAGGAAATAATAATGATAATTTTAGAAATCATCATCTGGATGTACCTGCAATCCACAATGAGTGATGCCATTCTCACTGAAATCCGAATGCAGCATCCATCGTTTCTAATGGCAAAAAGTTATCCAATCGATCTAGTCGATAACAACATGTTAATCCTCAGACTTGCCAATAGAGATTGAACAGATCAGTTAACGGAATATACAACATGAGCCTAAAAAACAAAACAATAGTCGATGCGTGTTGCTTATGAGGTAGCTTTAGTGGCCTGAATGACCTAGTAGGTAATGATTTGGCACTTTGAAACGATGGGTGCTGGGTTTCAGTCCCAGTGAGGACAACATCACCCATTACAGGTGCATCCAGATGACAAGCCTTAAATAGGACAAAGTACTAGATAGCTGTATCATCCAGTACTCCCTGAAGGTTTTCCAATGGTTCTCAAACTGATGTCAGCTCATGATGAAATCCTTCAACCAATCAAACAAAATCCTTACAAAACCAGTACTCGAGTATTAATTTATTAATATTCTATTTAATTTAGATCATAAAATGGTATCAGTTTGAGAAGCATTTAAAACTAGAAGTATGAATTCATCAGTTATTAGATTCTGTCCAAATGGCTAAATGGTTTATGGACTGATTTTGTAACCTAAAGACCCAGGGGTTCTATCTCCAGTTAAAGTGATGCATGCTTACTGGCAAAAACAAAATCTAAAAGAAGGAGGCTATTACAACTGTGAACCGACACTTGAACATCATCCTTAAATGCTACACAAAATTTATAATCCATTTCACTAGATTTTCTACGAGTGGACACATAGAGGGCTTCAGGTTTTGAAATTTCAGTAGTCGTGTTTCTTTTTTACGGGGTGGATATCCTAATCTCACACCTACCACCTTCTCCTTACTGGGCTTAATACCGGCTAGGCGACGTTTCAGATCGCATTGGCTGAGAATCCAGCCTAGACCACTGTAACAACAGAAGACAAGGGCCAGGCAACAGATCGTTTATTGAGGAAATCAACAGATATTTATATATTTTTATGTACACTATTATTAGCAGAGAAATAACGTCTTCTTATTGGTTGTTTTCTTTCTGAATGTTATTCTGTATTGCTTTTGACCGTTTCTTAGAAAAATAAGCCATATATCTGCGAATCGTATTTGCACACGCTGAGTCTGTTACGATTGGTTGTTGAGTTAGTCTTTGTTCTTGTTTTTTTCTTATGACCAAGACCAATTTTGGCTGGCAGACAGCTCTCACCACACCACGTGTGTCGCTGGCTGGCATTCTACCTGTGAACCAAAGACAGAAAGTGTTATCCACTAGGCCACAAGAACCGATGACATCAACACCACGGATTCGTGTATTAATTTGTTAACCTTCTTCTGGAGTTCAAAAAGTATTACTTGGATAGCAGAATACCTGAATAACATGTTCCTTTAAATACCTGATACATTATAATTATCCTATTGTTTGTTTTCCTTAGAGGTAACTCTTGGGCAAATGATTTCGTATGTTTATTAATTAGTGATAACTACACCAGCAGAGATTATTCTAAAGAAGTAAACCGGAACGTTGACGGAGATGAAAGACAATCTGTTTAACAGTTTGATGATACAACTCTTGTAGTAATAATAATAATAATAATAACTGGAGGGCCATTGTATTAGTTTATCGTGTTTCTTCCATTCTTTTGTCTTCCTAGTGGAACTGTTTTGAAGTTGCAGCAGTAGCAGAGATTTTGTTTTTAAGGGATGGGGTTGCTAGCCTCATATCTAACCTTCCATCTTTTCCGGCTTTACTATCGGCTAGTACTCTAGGCGAGGTTTGGAAGTGTATCTATTGGGAATCGAACGCCTACCTGCCGTGTAGCTGGCCAATATTCAATCTCATTTATTATCTATTTCTTATTAATTGTTAAAATCATTGTGTCTTCTTACCTTTTTTTTACTTTAAGATGCCTATAAACAAGTATCAAGGTGTGATGACCACCTGAACACTTCTAATCAATCAATGGAGCATTCTATTGAATTTCAGCATAACAATAAACAACAATTTCAGCAAGCTAGTTATCCTCGTAATTACTATGAACAACCCACCACAATGACGTCTGATGTTAGCTCTGTTTTACATGAAAATGACAATTCTGAAGGTATAAATAATAAGATATTCTTCAATTCATTAAACAAATTCTGGTCAAATCAAAATTCCACAGTGAATTCATTAGAATTAGCTAAACTTTTTAAACGATACATGGAATCATATGAATACATGTCGAATACAACACAGTCAACAACGCTAACGACGCCATCAGCTGAAAGCGACATTTCAACTGTTAACAATAATAATAATAATAGTAGTAATACAATTACAAATATTGATAGAAGAAAGGCAACAATTCATACTGCTTCTTATTCAGACATTTATACTGAATCCTACTTAAAATCTGTTAAACAAACAAACTATTCAGTGGAGACATTTGCTTCAGCAGACTCGATGAATACTATACAACCATGTGGATATAATGAAAACTATTACCAAAAACAAATTCAACGACAATCGTTAAATAAAGCAATGGAAATCTCGAATTCATTAGTTCAGCATTCTAACAGTGATTCAAGTGATACAAGTACTACTACAACTAATACTACTAAAAACAATAATAGTAGTTATAATAATAATAATAACAGCAATCATAATAATGAGACATCATCGAATGTTCACACAGTAGGCAAACGTAGGAAGCGTCGTATTCTATTTAGTAAATTACAAACAACTAAACTGGAAGAGTGTTTCAATGAACAGAGATATCTGACAGCTTCAGAAAGGGAACATTTAGCAAAGATATTGAATTTAACACCAACACAAGTAAGAAAAAACTAATGGGGCTTTTAGATGAAAGACCATAATTTGTTTGTTTTATTTTTCTCTCATTATATTTTATTTTATTCCTTTTACTTTCCTAGTGGAACGTAGAGGACTTTAAGCTTTAAAGTTTCAGTAGCAGTGGGTTTATTTCTACAGAGTGGGATCGCTAACCCAATATCCAAACTCCCCTATTTACAGGGCTTACCACAAGCTTAGAAAGGTTTAGGGGGGCATCTGCCGGCGGGCGAACCCCGGACTACATATGTGGTTGGCGAGTATTCAACCGTTGGACCCTCCGAAGCGACTAACGCAATGGTATACGCACTGACTGGGCATTTATAAGCTGGTTTTCAGGATATACATATATATATATTCCATTAGGATCTTAATAGGTATAAATGACATAGTGGAAAATAGAGCTTCAGCAGCGCATTTCCATTTGGCTGTGTTCTCTGCTATCCATTTTAGCCGGCTCATCTAGCTTACTAGTTCACTAACCAATCCTAAGCCCTGGGAAAATAGAAAATTAAACACGAAACCCTAGAAAATTAATCGTGTCACTACAGAAACTTCAAAAACACCGGAAAAAAATATAAGAGATAGGCTAATTCTCTGCTAGAATTGGGGAGATGGAATGAGGTGGGCTAGTCGGCCGACTAGTCTTCTTTCGATGACAGGAAAAGCATTTCATTACCACGCTGCACTCTCAGCGAGAGACAATGCTCCAAGTGAGACTCAGACCCGACATCCAATGTCCCAAACTCTAAAGGGTAAACATTAAAAAAGGATTTACAATTTATGTGGACGTAATTGTAAGTTAAAACGGTTTGTGATTTGTTGAAAAGTGTTTTATATTTCGAGATGTCAGTGTTTCCGGAAGTTGGATAGCCTACAGGAAAGTGTTTGATTTAAGTCCGCGTGCTTTCTTCAGAATTCTTTCCGGAGAAGAGCGACTTCTCGTGAAAGAGTGTTGAAGGTTACAGCTAAGCTAAAGATTTGATGACAGTAAAATATCTCTTACACTAGGAAAATTTGATATGCTCTGGGGAGCAAAGTGGCAAGCAATAAATGTTCTCTGGCAAATTCATCTCATAACTGCTTTAATTTCCTGTATTAGCAATAGACTGATTACATTTAGAAAAAAAAGCAACAGAAAAATAACTGTAACAAAAGGTGATGAAATTGTTTCCAAAATCTGAAATATCACTGTGGTGAGTGCTACTTATAATCAGATATAAGTAGTATATCAGTAAACGAATTCAGAAAAGTAACAATATGTTTTGGACACTGGAAAAGCAAGCAACCGAAAAAGAGAACTGTGAGAAGAACGGTAGAAACACTGTGCAGAATCGTCCAACAAGCTATCGAATGTGGTGATATTCGACCAATTTGCAAATGATGTGCAAATTAAGACCTAAAGAGAAGGTGTACTAAATTTATGTAACTACAATGCATTTGTCCTAATAAACACTGCCTTCATGCCTCATTGGTCTTTTTCTTCTTTACATTACCTTTCCGAAACAGTAATGAAAACACATGAAGGGGATTTTCGAATTTTTTTATTGCAAAATATGATCAATGCATATAAATGAACAGCTATACAATGAACTTTAAGGAGCATTACTTCGTTCTAAAATTGAGTATCACATTGTCCTCCATTTTTTTCTCTTTTCTAAAACAGGTGAAAATTTGGTTTCAAAATCATCGTTATAAAATGAAACGTGCAATTCAAAATGATGAATTATCCCCAAGTACAATGACAAGAAAGTCAGACAAATGTACTCCTAACAAAGAAATGAATTCACCATCTTCATGGAGTACACAAAGTTTATTAAATCATTCTGATTGGCAATGTTTAACAAATAATGAAAGAGGATATTTACGGCATGACATGTATTCAAACAAGACGAAACAATCGACTGATGAAAATCCATCTCTTCAACAGAAATTCTCTCCTGAAGATCATTCTAAAGAAACCGGTATCATCAATGACATACAAATGAATCAATCAGTAAATTATACGGATATATTTCAAAAATCATGGCTAACAAATTGGTTCAAAATGATTTCTAGTCAATATTCTTCAAATGATACTACAAATAAACAATTTACAAATTCGTTATATAAAACACAAAAGTTGGCAAATAATTATGAATCGCCTACAGTTATGATTGATAAGTGTAATGAAGAAGTGAATGATGAGTGTCGTTCAGAGTTATCATCACCTGTAGGCAAACTCTATAAGTTACACAACCTTCATTCATTTAAAAATTCCAATCCTACTACTAATAATACAATTACATCATCTCAGAAATTAATTGAAATGAATCATCCTCCAATAGGCATTGACCATTAATCAGAATGTACAAACTGATGAACTTTCTTCGTAGAAAAGTATAAAATATATTATCGAAATTATTAAAGAATGTAAATGCCAATAATTCGTAAATCAGTTAAAAAATGTATCAAGGTACCACCACCCCCCCCCATCCATTTTCAAATGTACCTCACTTTCTTTTAGTTTGAAAAAGATAAACAATGAGAATATGACAATTCAACAGTACTAAAATGAATCTATTTTTATTATACTCTCAATGGAATGAAGATGCTGATTCTGTTCTATATATTTGGTATTCGAATACTTATGATCATAAAATTCATTTATATAAGTTAAGCTACTTAATAGTAGTCAGAATTAAACAACACAAATTTTACCCACTCGAGATTGAGATGATTTTTCATCATAAGAACATGTGTCAAATGTTACTCTGTATAATTTTGCTTATAAATATTACCATTGTTACCTCTTGTTCTACTTCTTATTCATGACTTTAATGACTTCGTTCACGGTAAAACTAAGTTTTTTTTCGGGGGATACTACCTACTCTAAGCCTAATGAATTGTTTGATCACTCGTCAGAATAAGTAAGAGAACCACTGAAAATCGGGAAGTATTAGACAACTGGGAAGCATCGTTTCAACTACAGGTGGAACTGACGAGGATATCAAAGCAAGAATCAGAAAAGCAAGACAAGTTTTCACTACTCTCAAGTCTGTGTGGAGGTCAACAGCACTCAGAATCAAAAATAAGATCCGAATTATCAACTCCAATGTGAAGTCAGTCAGTGCTACTATACGGATCAGAGACTTGGTGTGTCATAAAGAGCACCTCAAACAAAGTACACACCTTCATCAACAGCTGTCTTCGCTCAATACCACTCAAGATCAGATGGCCGGCCAGAAAAAGATCAGCAACAGAGATCTCTGGGAGCGAACCAACCCAGCAGGAACCTATTGTGAAACAAATAGGCAGGAAGAAATGGAGATGGATTAGCCATGCTCTTAGGAAACCATCAAGTGACATCACTAGACAAGCCATTGCTCGTGTGGAACCCGAAAGGGAAGCGGCGAGTTGGTCGTCAGTGCAAGGGTGACTTGGAGGAGGTCATGTGAAGAGGAGATGAAAGGATGTGGGCAGACTTGGAGTCAGGTGAAGACTCTAACAGAGAACCGAACGCAATGGAGACGTGTGGCTGAAGCCCTATGTTCCTCTAGGAATTAAAGGATACAATAATAATAACAATTAGACAACTGTTCTTTCTTCCCTCTTTTGGGATTCTTCATCAGTGTTTATCTGTTATTCCACAGACGATGGAAACTTGGGTCTTACGTTTACAAGGGAAGTTCATTGAGCATTCAACTACTAAATAGCAATACGACAGACCATAACAATTCACGACTTTTAGCGAACTAACACTTAGGAATTAATCTGATGCTCAATAATAACTGACTATAGGATGAAGTTTCATGGAGTTCTAGTGGAAAATTGTCACCAGCAGGTCCCAATAAGTCGGATTTGAGGACAAATACTCACTGATGGAATCAGTAACGCTATATCACGAATTGATGGAAGTTAGAATTCATGAACCAGTGGATTCTGTCCCAGTGACTAAATGGTCAACCTGAAAGTCCTGAACTTCTTCACCGGTGGGGTTATGGTTGCATGTTGCAGTTGTCCAGTACTGCCTAGTTTTCAATGGTTCTCTAACTCATATAAGTATAAAACTTGGGCACTGTGGTGGAGTATAATTCCATAATGGATAAGATTTTATTTCGATAAATCACACAGTGTAGTACAGTTATATTAACTGTACTACACTGTGTGATTTATCGAAATAAAATCTTATCCATTATGGAATTATTCTCTAACTCATGTTAATCAATGTGATCAAACTTGAAACCAATCGAATTCCTACAAACTAACACCTGAATGAATTGTGTTTTAGAAGAGAATCCCGCAAATAATCTGCTTTTAGGTGAGCTATTAAATATCTCACCTAAGTTTGTTATACGTATTTTTACGTCTAGTCTTTTGCTTAAGTGGAGGTAGAGAGATGGGTTGTCAGGATTTTCATCACAGATATCCTAGTTTCCAGATGTTATGTAGATTTTTCGGGAAAAACAAAGCAGCTATAATGTTGTGCCATCTTAGAACACACTACTTATAGTCATTTACATGAAGATACATCGTATTGTTTGCCTAATCCTCTAGTGAATGAAATAAGTTATCTGCTGTTTCTGTGATACATGACTATGGAAATCAAACAGTTCTATATTTCTTCAATAGATAGTGGCTAGCGGTTGAATCCGAGAAGTGCGTTTTGTCTCACTTGGCGCTCATCAGCTGGAGTATATTGGTATTAGATGTAACAAAAGATCCGAATAGTGTAGTAGTATTAACATTGCCATTCTGGATGAGACGTTGTTTGCATCTAATGACCAGAGAATTTATAACCTAAACTGAAAATATTCCACACCATTATTGCTTATTGGAGACTTGAAATGTTCTCATTGATTTTACTCACCTACCTGGTTGAATAAACATGCCAAATTATTCACTCAATATTCATTTGTTCACACATTGTGGTTTCATATTAGAAGAAAAAAAAATCAATTTTAAATAGACAATAACTAATACTTTAGAGTTAATACTTGAACGCCTTTTTGATTTTACATATAACTGTAGACTTAAGTGAGAAGATCAAGTTTAATCTGAAGAACTTAATGCATCGAAGTAGTCAAGTTGAAAATTTGAGAATATTATTGATATGACTGTAATAAATACTTTAGGTGTTATTTGATTTGTTTGTTGGCCAGGCGTGAAATCTAAGATTCACGTTTCATCTTATTTAGGATTCGTCAGCTGGATATACCTACTTCCCTAGTGAGTGATCGTATCCTAACTGAGATTCGAAATTAAACACCCTTCTATTCAAATGATAAAGCGTTATTCACTAAGTCACTGGAGTTACGAAAGTCAACTTTTGTCCAACAGGTGTCAGATACTGCCTATTGATTTTTCTGAAAATTTACCGTACCGAAACGCCAAAAGCGACCAATGAAATCAAACAAGAAATACAGAACTTTCAACAGATTCTAAAGCTTTTAACTAGAGATAAACTAGTTTTAAACTGTTTGAGTCTATCCATAACTTGCAGAACTCAGTTACCTGGAACAGATCTCTTCTGTACATGGTTATGATGAGCCAAACTTATTGTATAAACGTCGATAATACTAACTAGTTGTTCAGATTGAATTAGATGAAGCGATATACGAACTCTGGAACCACTGGCTGGGAGTCGAGTATTTAAGACAAATCTCCAAAGCTAAATAGTAACCATGATAATGTACAATCAAGAAGGTATTTTATATCATATCTTCAAGATGATATCGTTTGTATTTTTCGAATTTATGAATAAAGTTGGTTATACAATCAACTCATGGGAGAGATAATCAAATACTGAATCACATAATTTAGTACTAGGGATTGAAAGCTAATAGACAGAAGCCCTGAATACTCAAACTTTCGTACTTATTAAGGTACATCAACATTCATAGCTAACGCTTAATGGTAATGAACTTAACGGGCAAATTTAGATTACCCTTTAGAACTACACACCTATGTTAGTTATCATTTGACGAGAGTAATTTATGTGTATGCATTCAACAACACTACTTAATAAGAATCATTTAATAACAAGTGCCTAGAATACAGCGTAGTTGTAATTATTTACTGACGACCAATTCACTTCCCCAATTTGGAGTAGGACATAGGGCTTCAAGCTTTCAAAAGTATTGATGCCGTTTTTACGAGGTGGAGTTACTAGCCACACACGCAACCTTCGCTTTTCTCAAGTCTTAGTATCCGGTATAAACTAGGAGAGTTTGAGGACTGAGTTGGCTTACAACGAAAACGGCCCACGTGTTTGGTAGGCAAGCATATTACCTTTGAATCACAGACGCACCAATAACAGTTTAGAGACAAACACTCACTCACTTCAAAAACACGAAGTATCGATCAACAAATGAAAAAGTTGTTTAATTGTCCTTCTTTAACCCACTTTCAGGTTAAAAGAGATGAATTCTTTTCCCTCAACTGACCATACAATTTTAGTAGTGATATATTTAGGAGTACAGTGATAAGGCATAAATCGAACCAGAGGAATGAGATACAGAGAAGAAATCTGAATTACGGTTCAGTTACCATATGAAATCTCAGCATACATGAAAAGTCTCGTGTAGCATTTTACAGCTTATGTCATGTCTGAGATAGACGTCATATCCCGTTGTCAATCAAAGGAAGTATGTACTGCGCATCATTTCGCTCCGTCTGTAAGATATGGTCATTAAGAGCAGAAGATATGAAAAGTCTGTCTTTGATTACAAGTATTTGCGTTCTGTTTCCTCTGTTAAGTGACGTAATTGGGTGAGTAATATTGAGGTTAGGCGTAGTGTCAGACACGGAAGGGAAATCAATCTACGAAGTCTTGAAGCTACATCGATTGAAATGGATAGGACACGTGTTGCACACTCCAAGTCATCGAATTCCTCAACTAGTCATCTTAACTGAAATAGGATCAGGCTGGAAAAGAGTTTGGTGTGGTCAGATCAAAGCCTGGTTTGAGCCAGACACATAGAGATGTGTAGATCGCCTAGTTAGGGTTTCCAGTATTTCAAGAGCCGATCGCTTGAGACTTTTAGTGATAAGCCTCAAAATCGTTCTCAATGAATCAGATGCATTCGCTTTTTGTAACCTTCAACATCCATTAAATTCACACGTTTTCTCTGTATTATCATCCCACACTCTCTCTCGGACCTTTCTTCTGTTTTCTTTTCTATGCTTCATGGAGTGTGGTAACTTGAACTGCTTGACTTCTGTGCTAAGTTCTACATTGAAACTCAGTCAGTCAGTCAGAATAATCTAGCTTAAAAATACGGAATTAAGAAAAATAAAATACCAAGGAGTATTGGATAGCTACCTCACTTCATCCTAGTTTGAGATTCATCGGCAGTACGCACACAGAAATACTGGGGTTCGAACCCAGGTTACAAGGCAAAGTGGTCATCACACTTCAAACGAATCAAACCGCTGTAAATGAACTGTTGAAAATTAATTTAATTTTCATTAGTGGCTGGCTACAGGACGAAGTTGCCTGGTGTTCTAGTGAGGAGTCCTGTCCAGTGGGATTCATCTGGTACGGAGTGAGGACAAATACTCGCCAATGGCACTGGCAGAACTTAGAATTCATGAACCACTGAATGGGGACCCAGTGGCTGAATGGTACACAGGCTTGCCCTGTAAATGGGAGGTCCTGGGGTTTGAATCCCAGTAGGTGCGCACTGATAATGAGTCCCAAATTGGGATGAAACAACTTTCCAGTACTCCTTGGTTTTCAATGGTACCCTAAGTGATATCAATCCACGGTGGAGGTTGAAAAAAGTCGAATTCCTACAGAGCAACTCTTGAAAAATAAGAAATACTAAATATATGTATTTTCTGTCTGATCAACCAACACAGTTATTGTTGTTCATCTGATAATCACAAGCAAGGATACGTTAAACAAAATACACAGGGTTACAATAAAAAAAAGAAGTGAAAGGAGCGAAAAATATCAAAATCTGATTAAGAAATAAGTTAAGAATTTTAAGAAAACCCTAGCCATACAATAATAGTAATAGGAGAATAATTGAAGATTTCTACACAAGGCTAAAGGTTAATTATCTATAAAGCAGTCAGATGAATAATATTCATTAATAATAAACAACAAAAGTACACCACCACCAACACCACAGAAAAAGAGATCCTGAATGAAACTAAACACAAGGAAGACTGTACAAATATGCACAAAATAACATTCACACGTAGACGACGATGATAATGATAATGGTCGAGAGCACAGTTTTCAAGAAATTGACACAAACAATGTATCCTATCGCATCTTGAGAAGAATTGTCTGCAAAAGGTGTTTATCGCTTCTTTGTCTCACTCATGACAGACATCCAGCATCGGCAGCTACTTTGCTTGGATTCGATATCTCTTCACCAAGAGAGTCTAAAATTTCACGACGATAATCATCAAAGTCTCCATCGATTTCATTGATACCAAGATCTTCAATCACCCAGAGAATACAATTTGTATCACGTATAAGACGTTCATCATGGCTGACAACGATAACACCTAAAATATAGAAAATATAGAAACACAGACATTATACATTATGTAAAAAGTGTAGGTAGGAGTCAATTCTGATTCATTCTGCATGATTAAAGCTGCAAGTCAATCAATGATTTATATCATTGTGATGTACTTTCCCTATAATCTAACCCTTAACTACTTAAGAAAGACTTTGTCACATTGAAAAGAGCACTAAAAGCTATCAGTTGGCCGAGTGAGGTGTTGGTAAGCCAACTCACTAATATTGTATGGCATCACATCAAGTAGGGCTAGAAGGAATTATAAAAAAGAGTTAATGGTCGGAAGACTCAATATAAAGACTTAATAATAGCTTCTTATTTGACACGCAATTTATGTTGGTGTTACGTATGAAACAGCAAGTGAATGACACTTTTATTCTTTTCAAGAATTAATTTGTTTCTAGTTTGATCACGCATTGATATTAGTTAGAGAACCATTGGAAACCAGTATGCAGTGATGGATAGCTGTTTCATTCTCGTTCGGGACTGTTCAGCAATACGCACTCACTGGCGTTCAAACCCAGGACCTCCCAAGTTGTAAGGAAAGCTGGTAGGCCACTGGGACTTGATTCAATGACCCATGAATTCTAAGATCTACCAATTCGTGATTTTAGCGCGACCACCAACCAATATCACTGGCAAGTATTCGTCCGCACTGAGCGTCGGTGGTTTGGGATTCGACCCCCGGCCAACGCACTCCTTTACCTCGCTAAGGCAGGGATAAGACTGTTAAAGAGGGAAGATTGGGCATGAGGTTACCAACCCCATCCCGTAAAAATAAACACCATTGCTACCGAAACTTCAAGCCTCTAGCTTTTGAAGCCTTATGTTCCACTGGGGAACATAAAGGAATAACAAAAAAAATCGTCCGCATTCCTGACCAGGTGAACCTCACTAGTCACAACTTCTCAGTAGAACTCCAGGCAACTTTGTTCTGTAGCCAGTCATTAGAGAGTATCAGATTAATTTTCAAGAGTTAATTTGTTGGGATTTGATTTGCAGTGAGTCCCAAACTGGGACTAAACAGCTGTCCAGTACTCCATGCTGGCTTTCAATGGTTCTCTAACTGATGCCAATCCGTGGTCGAACTTGAAACTTTAGTTCTTTCTGCCGTTTAATATATATTGTTGTCACTATACCTATTACTTTTTAATTTTACATTTATATTTTGATTGACGTTACTATAAATGCAAGTGTCCAGTTAATTATTTTCCTCAAACTATGTAATATAAAGAGAACATTAGATGCATTGTTGTACTACATGTTGAGAATCCCACACTGTATCATGAGTACTGTTTTGGGATAAAGCCATTATTATTATTATTAATAAGCTGAAAGATAACACACTCCTAGTGAAACTCGACTAATAACCAAAATTATTTACAAGAGTACAAGGCATTAACTTACCGCCTTCAAATTCATTGATAGCATCAGCTAAAGCATCAATCGATTCAATGTCCAAGTTATTTGTCGGTTCATCCAATATTAAAACATCTGGTGCACGACGTGATAACTCGGCAAAAGCAACACGAGCACGTTGACCACCAGATAAATCTGCATTTGGAATTGTATGTGCATGCGCTTCTAAACCAAATTTACCTAATGTTGCACGAGCATCCTTAAATAGAAGAAAATTACAAGAAGGAGAAGAGTGAAAGTTAAGCATTAATTAATAATTATTAATCGATATTTTATTTATTTATTTAAACGCAGAAAAAACTTGGTACAATATAGCACCAAGAAGATGCACTACACAATAATAATAAAACAACATAGATTAAAAGGAAAAATATAAGTAGAGAACGGATAAAGAACTTCATTTGGAAGGAGAACTGTCACATTCAACAAGTTCAAACAGTATTCGTCAACTTTCATCAGGAAGGGAAGAGAGAAGGAAATTGCAGCACGTTCGCCATTGATTACGATTCTTGGCCATATCCGATAACGTTTTGAGCCACCAATTCGAGCTATCTCTCGGACTCCAACCAGGGAGACGTGGCGCACCAACCGATACTAACCTAGCACAAATATCCTTCATCCCACGACGCCACGTCATGGGCTGACCACCCATCCGCCTTTGCATCCCGTCTCAGAGCTAGCGAACAGAGACCTGAACGGAAGCCTCTGGGATGACATCCGCAGCACATGTCCAAGCCACCGAAGCCGGTGTTTCCAGATGATGACACTCAACAAATCGTGATCTCCACTGTAATCAAACACATGCCACCAAACCTCAGAATTACTCAGACGATGATGCCGTCGAACGCAAGCAATCCTGCGGAGATAGCGATGAACGAATACGCAGAGCCGCCGCACATCCTCAGCTCGGAGAAGCCAGGTTTCACAGGCGCAGAGCAAGACAGCCCGCACCGAAGCTACCAAAAGACACGACATGTACTCCTTCTTCATATCAATTCAATAAATCAAAAAACTATAGACACCAATTTGACTGAAAACAGCTAGGAACTTTAAACAGTGGAAACAATGAAAATGTCAGGGGATCTCTATAACCCTGATATTCACATACGCATTAGCAACTAACAGATACATTATTATATGCATATATCAAATTTATCAACTTACAAAAAATGAGCCACATGACAGACAATATGTCAATGATAAAGAATCAATACTGATGCAAATTAATTAACAATTAATCACAATAAAGTTTGTCAGGAGATACGATTATATAATTAATATAAAGTTTAAATAAGTTCACGTTATTTTGAAGTCTGCAATGAAGATGTTATCTAGAAGGGCAATGAAAGCTTCGCAATTAAACTATCCAGCTCAGAGGACGCAACCACATCAAAAAATTCAGTCTAAATATTGCTGGGACTATTTTCGTTTTTACTTTTACAATAAAAACTTCAGGTCAACTACATTTATCGATCCAGCACACTTTCCATTACGCAATAGATGGGTGGGTATGCTTAATTTAAACGAAGTGAGAAATTGTGAATCATATTCAGTATTGCTTATACAGCACATTTCTGCGTTGAACACTCACTTTTTTTTAAAAACTAACACACGATAATGACCAGTACGTATTGAGAAGGTTAAGTATCAAAATTATGAAACAGAAATCATCGAATTCTGTCAACGGATAATCTATTTTCTTTTAAGTATTATTCTCTTTTAAGCCAGGAGCTACAAATACAATTAAAAGATATATTTGATTTAGTCAGAATATCTCAGCAGGGAGACGGTTAGACTAAGGATCTAAATGCCCCTAAGATTCCAGCAACTTTGCGCATAGATTGGTGGAGATGTGGTTCATCGACTTCCAGGTTTTGGGTTCTAGATTCGAATCAGGTTAGCATCTAATTCAGTATGGACAACTGAGTGGTATCAGAAGACCACTGCTGGGTAATTGAGTTCCAACCTATCAATCCATAGAAGTTGTTAAGGAGAGAGAGAGTTATTTTGTCAGTCTTACAAGTCAACCTACAATTAGCATAAATCACACTCTAGATAACGAATTCTACATAATCGATTGATATGGCTATCTATTGCACACGCATAATACAGTGTGTAACTTTACACTGAAGCGCTAAATGAATTGGAAATTCATTTTAAAAAGAGGGAAAAAGAAAAGAAAACCACCATAGATGTTTAAGGGTATTTCCACGGATGACCTTTTTTCTCCCTACGCATGTCTTGCGTTCCGAGTGGAACATGCCGTTTCAGCTGCATATTTATATTGCATTATGTTCTCTGGTATCATATCCAATTAAATCGACGACTACCCACAAGCTTTCATTTCCTCTTCGCATGATCTCCTTGTCACTCTCGGACAAAAGCCTAACTCGTCAATTTCCATTTAGGATCTGGCGTCCTTACACCGTTTATGACTTCAATAACTATTATTATAAGTCATACTTAGTTGATAACTAACAAAATTGATGCGGTTGCATCCTCAAAGCTGAATGAATTATCGCGAAGCTTTCATTGCCCTTCTACATAACATCTTCATTGCAGACTTCAAAATAACGTGAACTTATTTAAACTTTATATTAATTATATAATCGTATCTCCTGACAAACTTTATTGTGATTAATTGTTAATTAATTTGCATCAGTATTGATCTTTATCATGTGGCTCATTTTTTGTAAGTTGATAAGTTTTATATATGTATATAACAATGTATCTGTTATTTGCTAATGCGTATGTGAATATCAGGGTTATAGAGAGAGATCCCCTGACATTTTCAGTGTTTCCACTGTTTAAAGTTCCTACCTTTTATTCCAGTCAAATTGATGTCTATAGTTGTTGTTTTCATTTCATTAATATGAAGAAGGAGTACATGTTGTGTCTTTTGGTAGCTAATATGTGTTCTTGGACATGGAGTCGAAGGGTACTTCCAGTCTGACCGATATAGTTCTTATCGCAGTTCATAGAATTTACTTTACAGATGATGTTGATCTTGTCTTCTTTCGCTATTGGGTCTTTCGGTATACACAGTAATGAATGAAGTAACTGTATTGGCTTGTGTGTGTGACATCTATTGCTAATGGAACAATAAGAAGACTCTCTAGAAGATCTAGATATTGCCAACGATTTAATGTCACACAAACTCGATAACTTACTGGCAAAAACCAAAACACCGGTTGAAGAAGCAGTAAAGACAAAACTTCAAGTAAACACATAGGGAAGATGGAGGTGATGAAGATAACCGACCACTACCACCACCACCAACAACAACAACCAGCACCAATCACTATCAACGGAAGAAATGTGAAAGCGGTCACTTCCTTCACCATTTTAGGTAGCATCGTTTCAACTACACAGGAGGAATGGATGAGGATGTCGAAACTAGAATCGGAAAGGCAAAGTAGACATTCATCACTCTGAAACCAGTTTGGAAATCTTCTGCACTCCAAAGCATAAAAACAACAAAGTTCGGATTTTCAGCACAAATGTTAAGTCAGTTCTTCTGTATGCATCGGGAACTTCGCCAAAAAGCATTTCAAACAGGTTGCAGACAGCTACCTTCGCTGGCTCCAATATTGAATATGTAAGGGCCAGAAAGAATTAGCAACAAGAAACTATGGGAATTAACCAACCAAGAATCTATAGGACACACACTGAGGAGACCATCGAATGACACCGCGCCCCAGGTCAATGCTTATGAGGAACCCAAATGGGGAACGACGAATTGGGCATGCATCCGAAGGTAACACAGAGGAGATCGTGTGATGAAGAGATAACGGCCTATGGACAACGTGGGGTCAGCCAAAGAGGACTGCAGAGCACAGGACAAAGTGGAGATGTGCTTTTGAGGTGGTATGTTCCACCCAGAACCCAAGAGAATAATAATGACGCAGTGATTTCGCGAGATCAATAATTTTCATGATTAAAGGGTGAAATGTGTTGTGAAAAGATTTAGAGGAATCAACCAATATATTGCGCGAAAGACTTAGCCTTTGATCTAGATTTGAGAGAAACTTCTAGTTCACAGCTTACTTAAAAAATATTGACCAATAGTACCTCTTCCATCCATGAGGGAAATTTGCTTGGATTTTATTAATTTCAAGGTAGAACTCAACGAATCGACATTATTTAGAGAACTATTAGAGGTTAAGATATACGGGACATTTGTTTCCCTATAGTTTAGCCTTGAGATAGACAGACTTCTTGAAGATGTAATAATTTAGAGTCACAGATTTATATGAAATAGGTGTCCACTGAAATCCGTTTTTTCAACTTATGTCAATTTGTGCAAATGTTATGGATAAGGGAAAAAAGAGGAATATGTAACTTTAAATTGTTGATGATATGATTGGCTGTAAGACATGGCCATTGAAAGTGCGCGGAATATGAAAAGACTGCCCTGTCTTTGAGATCATTGGCAGTTTCCGTTCTATCTCCCATGTTAGGTGGTATAATAGGATGAGTAGTATTGAGGTTAGGCGTCGAGTGTTAGGTAACCAGCGAAAGTCAATCGATGAAATTGCGAAGCTACATAAATTGAGATGGACAGAACACGTGTTACGCACATCTAGCCATCGCCTTTCGCAACGAGCAATATCAGCTGACATAGGATCAGGTTGTAAAAGAGCCAGTTGTGATCAAACCAAAACTTGAAGTCAGACCATGAAATATTTGGCAGTTAGTTTGGCCCACATAGAGAGGTGTAAGACTCTGCTTTGGTTGGGATTCTCGGAATTCTAAGCACCAATAGCTGAAGACAATTAATGATATGACTTATAATCGTAGATACATTCACTCTCTGTGTGATCTGCCATATTCTCTTGTTTTCTCCATGGTATTATTCCTTCTACCTCAAATTTCTGCTTGCTATAGTCGTTTTGGCTCTGGTCTTCTCTCTGTGTTTGTGTGCTACATGGAGTATAACAACTTGAACTTTTTTTTATTCCTTCACGTTCCCAGTGGAACATTGGGTTTCAAGCTAGAGGCTTTAGTTTAGTTTCTGTAGCAGTGTTTATTTTTACAGGACGGGGTTGCTAGCCTCATGCCCAACCTTTCCTCTTCACCAGCTTTATTTCTGGCTTAGCGAGGTAAAGGAGTGCGTCGGCCGGGGATCGAACCGCGGACCATGTGCATGGTCAGCGAGCGTCCTAACCGCTATGTCACCGACGCACAACAACTTGAACTGCTACACTTCTATTCAAATTTCTATGGTTGAAAGTAGTCAGTCAGTGTATATTAATGAAATTTAATAAAAAAAGAAAGAAAGAAACGAATACACACTTACTTGATAGGTTAAATTAAACAAACGTTGTAAATATTCCGTTGGTGTTTCACTTAAATTTAATTGATCTGCTGAATGTTGATCATATTTGCCAATTTTTACTCGATGATTTAATCGACGTTCACCTTCAGTTGGTTGTACTTCACCTGTAAGTAATTTCAAGAAAGTTGATTTGCCAACACCATTTGGACCGACTATAGAAATTCTTGATGTCATATCTATGCCGAAATTTAAATCTTTAAATAATGGTTTTTGATTTGGATAAGCAAATGTAACACTGTATAAGCCAAGAATTGGTGGAGAAATAGGCGATGGATTTGGGAATGTGAACTAAAATAGACAAAAAGGAAGAAAGAAAGAGAATGATAATTAGTTAATTAATTAATTGAGCAATCAAACAAAAATATTTGCCCATTATTATTCATGAAAAGACAGAAGTATTCATAGAAAGTAAGCATAAGTAACTGATTATGCCATCCTCAGAAGATCGAAGGACAATCTTTCTCTACATACACGCACACGCTTTCGTCAGTTAGCTGTAGGAAATTTAAAAAGTAATATTATATATATATATAATATAAATTTTCAAAAGAATGGACACGGAACGAAGAGTACTTCGATAAATTCATCATCAGGTTCTACAGTTATATATACATTATAGTGAATGAATGAATTAGTGTTATGAACAACATTAATGCTGTTTAAATAACATTGAATCAATAATAGTATCAATAAATTACAACTGAACAGCATCAACATAAAATAAACTGAATGTCAGAAAAATTAGGAAAGGTAATGGTACAAATTCATGAGTTTATAGTCTCTACTGAGGGCCAGGGCAGTAGTAGGAGCTGGACTTGTTACTTTTGGACACAGAGCACTGGTTGTTTGGGGCGAATTGCAATAGCCTCTGCTGTTTGGAGCATGCGGTGCTTCGACGATTTTGGTAGTTTGTTAGGCACCCGGTATATTATAGAGAAGGATTTTTCAACGCTGGCTGGCTTTGTGACCGGTTTGCACCAGATGGTCTAATATCGAGCTGTTAATAGTTTTAACTACACCTTTACTTAGCCATACTGGGATATGTTCTCGAGCACGAAAAATCAAGTTCCTAGAGCAACGGCCAACATAACTCGCTCCACAAGCGCAGTTGAATTGATAGATACAATTTGAAGTGGCTAGTCTAGGTACTTCATCTTCCAGTCGAGGTAGCACCATCGGTCGTGTAGAGAATAATACGTGTAGTTCACCAGCATTAAAAGTTCTTTGAACTGATTTTCTTAATTTCTTCGTAATTATCTCGCTTGGTATATCGCCCATGAATTGTAGTCGTATATAAAGTGGCTTCTTGTTTACAGATGGTGGGTAGTCCTTTTCGGCTTTCTTTGTCATATGTTTCTTGATAAATTTGTCAGGATAACCATTTTCGATTAAAGTATCATATACCATGCTTAATTCATCTTTAATTACTTCTTCAGAGCATATATATATATCCCATTCCTTGATTTCTGAGTGGAACACAGAACTTTAAGCAATGAAGTCTCAATGGCGGTAATGTTGTTGTTCTTTACGGGTTGAAGTTGCTAGCCTCACGTCCAACCATCCCTCTTTTTCGGTCTTGTTAGGACGGACAACCTATCGTTATTAGCGGCGAAGTCATGATTGATGCATGCACTGAAACGATAACCTGATTGGACAGTTTTTGATCGGTTTGGCTTGAATTTCTGAGGATTTTCAATGTCATACAACCACCAATCAGATATTGACTACTTATTCATGGTTAAATTTTCGAGGTTATGTAAACTATATATACCCTGTATTTTGAATAGTTAAACGTTATCACAGTTAAATCTAACTTTTGTGTCTAACTCAGTGCGGGAAATATTTTCGAGTGATCAGTTGGTCACACTGTCGTGTCTAGAGGTGCATTCTAGTCAAGTTAAACGAAAAACCCACAAATTAGTAACTCTCCTTTATAATATATCTTATTACCCAGCTAGTAAACTAGACGAAGTTCAGGAGTGAATCGGCCGGGAGTCGAACCCGAACTACCGGGATGGTTGAGACGACGATTCTGGTGTTGATCTACCAAAAATCAAACAGGAATGAATTCTATCTAAATACAATGCAACACACTTTTTAATATCACAATTTCTACATAATTGTTTATTAAAATATGACTTTGAGGCAGCTTAATTAACAAGTGTGCTATTCATTTACTACTCTACACGTTGTATATCGTGTGTATGTATGTGACGGCTTACTCAATCATTCAGACAGAAGTAGATAGAATGGAGCTTTGAACAATGGACTGATTGGTTGAAAAGTGAATGGAGAAATCGATGAACTATATTTTGAACTAAAGAATTTCAGGTTCACATCCACCTTGAAAAATGCGATCGGAACAAAAGATAGTCAAGTAATATTGTCAGTCATCACAAATCGCATGTGGCTAAAAGTCTATAGTGCATAAAGATATCAATCATTATGGTAATTTGTCTCCATAAATGCGCAAAAAAGATCGACAACTATAAAAACCATGTTTCAAAGTTGTGCAGTTACAGCTGATGATAGGGTATCATCAAGTGGTTGTGTGTGTGTGTGTGTTGACTACTTCACTTATTTTGGGGGACTGTATCATCCCTAATGCACTGACTGATTGTTAACAAAAATTTCAGCACGGATACAAAAGGTTCATCTTTTGCGTTCGCTAACTTACGTCAATTTTGGCATAGACGTGATATCCGGCTATCGATCAAAGGACGTGTGTACTGTGCAGCAGTGCACTCTTTCCTTCTTTATGGTTAAGAGACTTGGCCACTGAAAGTAGAAGGCTAGGTATCTTTGACCACAGATGTCTGCGTTTTATCCCTAGTGTTAAGTGGTATTGTGGTGGTGTGATACAGACAATGTTTGCCAACGGAATATTATTCTCACATATTCCTACAGTTCAAGTCGGCATTTGCAATAGAATACAATATATCTATTTGAACATTCTATTTCATGTTAGAGACGGAATACATTTCCCACAGTTATATACTGCATTAACAAAAGAATACTAGGTATATTTGATCATTCTATTTCATGTCGTTTGATGTAAACCGAAATCACACGCTCAGTGATTGGTTAAAGAATATAAACTGTACATATATAAACAGCGGTTTAATAAATGGAAAATATACCTTGGCTTCCGTGTCTCGCCTTCCATTGTTGCAGTATCATATGGAGAATTATACTCAGGTTAGGCTTAGAAGAGGGCTAGTCAACTGATGAGATTGCGAACTTACACTAATTGAGACAGCTAGGACAAGTATGACATATCTGGAGCCACTGCCTGCCTCATCAAGCGATGTCACTACTGAACTCAGTGAATAAGTACAATCGATGATACGATTGTGAACTATAAATTATGTTCAAATCGTCATTCAGTGAATAATATAATTTCACTGAGTATATATCGAATAAACAAATCAATAAGTGATTGAAATCAGATAGCTCTATTCGTTCACCTTTGAGTGTGCTTCTGCTTTTTAAATAATTTTCGCTTGCAACTATAATTTGTATTTTTGTCATTACAATGGCGAATTCAATCAATGTGAATAGGAGCAGAATGAACAATCTATTTACAACATTGATACCTATTTGAATACTTCGTCTAATTTTGTAATTACTACCCTTTTCCGCTGACCTGTATATTTGTGTTCTAACTTTTGTATATCTCCTCTTTTGCCTTAATCTTTATCATCTGACTTTATTTTTAGTTGACTCCTACTTTTAATGTTTCTCTGAGCTGTTGTTGTTGTTTTAGAAATGCAACTTTGTTTCAATGAATTCAAGGTGTCTCACAGTGCAGTGACTGTCTGCAGGAAGTGTGTTTTGTTCTATTCGACTCTCTCTCTTGCAGACAGAGTTTTGATCCCATCTTGTCGAGAATATTCTTGTTGATATTCTCTCAGTATGTATTTTGTAACTGAGAAATCTTTAGACTGCTGGACGGTGTTGCTGAGGTAGCTTTGTATTTCTGATATAAATGTTAGGTGCTGCCATGAATCCCATCATATCAAAGTGTATTTTGATGTTGTTAGAATATAATTGAGGACTGTACGTACATCCCTCGTGGAAGTTTAGCTAGTTACAGAGAAGAACGTATTGATTGATTTTCTGTGTTCAGACAAAAATACTTCGGTTTTGGTCATTAAAATGTGAGTTGCAGAATTGGTTCTGTCGGTTACGATATTACGAAATATGAGATGGTTGATTGCCACCACTCCACTTTGAATATGAGACTCGTAAAATGAATGCACCTGTATCCCCCCCCAATGAGTGATAGTGTTCCCATTGAGACTAGAACTCGGAACATATTCTACTTTGAATATCAAAGCACACATCTTCAGACATTATCGAAGTTTCTGTACTAGGAGGCGACATGTTATAAGACACCGAGAATTTAGATCCAATATAATCAATCAACGGGAAATGTGAAACAATTTAACGAAATAAATAAATGAGGATAACTTTGTTAATGGTTCGCCACATTACGGATCATCATTGAACAAAGCCTGGAATGACAGTCACCTCTTTATCTCAACTTCATCGACTTTGAAAAGGCCTTCGACAGCGTCGATCGAGAGGTGATTTGGCAACTACTTCGCTACTACGGGGTGCCACCGACAATCAAACATCTCATCCAACAGCTGTACGACAATGCTGCATGCCAAGTAATCCACAACGGGAAATTTACGGAACCCTTCGGAGTGAGGACAGGGGTAAGACAAGGCTGCCTACTATCACCAATGATTTTCCTGATTGCAGTAGACTAGATAATGCAACAAACAGCGGGCAATGAGGAAACAGGCATAAAATGGACCCACACAAAAAACTTGGAGGATCTGGACTTCGCCGATGATGTATGTCTGATTTCCCACAAACTGGAAGATATGCAAGCGAAAAGCAACAAGTTGGCAGAAGAAGCATCAAAGATAGGAGAGACTTCAGGTGAACATAGAGAAAACAGAGGTAATGAAGATTCCTGGTCGCGAGGAATAGTAACAGTAAGAGCAACAACAACTGACAACAATCAGCATAAATGGAAGGAAACTGAAAGAAACAACCTCTTTTACCTACCTACCTACTTGGGAAGCATCGTTTCAACTACAGGCGGATTCAACTGACGAGGATATCAAAGCAAGAATCGGAAAAGCAAGACAAGCTTTCACTACTCTCAAATCTGTGTGGAGGTCAACAGCACTCAGCATCAAAAATAAGATCCGGATTTTCAACTCCAATGTGAAGTCAGTGCTACTCACTATACGGATCAGAGACTTGCACTGCGCGTCATAAAGAGCATCTCAAACAAACTACAGACCTTCATCAACAGTTTTCTTCGCTCAATACCACTCAAGATCAGATTGCCGGTCAGAAAAGATCAGCAACATAGATCTCTGGCAATGAGCGAACCAACCAGGAACCGATTGTGAAACAAATAGGCAGGAAGAAATGGAGATGGATTGGCCATGCTCTGAGGAAACCATCAAGTGATATCACTAGACAAGCCATCACTCGAGTGGAACCCAAAAGGGAAGCGTCGAGTTGGTCGTCAGTGCAAGGATGACTTGGAGGAGGTCATGTGAAGAGGAGATGAAAACGTGTGGGCAGACATGGAGCCAAGTGAAGACTCTAGCAGAGAACCGAACGCAATGGAGACGCACGGCTGAAGCCCTATGTTCCTCTAGGAATTAAAGGATACAATAATAATAATAATAATAATTGTTAATGGTTCTCTTCCCTACAACATCGACAACAACACCAACAAAATGATTCACCTGAGACACGAATATTTCCAGCCACAACGAAGTATATGTTATACTATAGAGAGGATTTATGACGCCTAATGCGGATGTTCTCTGAGCTCTGGCATTTTAATCAAACACTTAAGCTAGGAGAACACTAAACAATTTCCACATTTTAATATCCTTAAGGGTAGTCAGCGAATAGGGTCTTTATTGAGCGCTGTTTTGATTTTCTGAAGTACAAACCAAAGAATGAGATGTGGTAACCTAAAAATTCGTAGTCACTAGATAGTAACACCTAATAGGCAACTATGCAAGTTTCTAAGTGTTTTCATGATGGATTCTACCGATCACAAGTGGGCAGTGTGATTATAAACCGGAATAGGATGACACTGATCTCCCCTATTCGACAGTCGACGAATGTCAGCAGTCTAGACAAATAATATTCATCTGATAATCTCCCAGGTGGTGTGGAGCAGCTATGGTCTTTGCTCTCGGCTTCCAACCAATTCTGCCTCACGCACCAAGGCCTGGATAGGTCTAATTCATAGCCAATTTCACGAAGGACTCATTCCCATGGACAGAGAAAACAGATAATAGATAAGCCTAAAACGTGTCTATCGAGAAAGTGAAAACAACACACAAAATTACCTTAACAACATACTCCTTTGGTTTACTGAGCAGTTGAGGTTTTCCACTACTATTCTCATCATTCAAAGCGACCTTATTTTTAGCTTGTTTTCGTGTGAGTACATCTCGTTGATTTTTTGCTTGTGCCTGTTTATTACTCATACCAGATTGTTTTAATTCTTTTAGACGTCTTTCTTGTTTCTCATATTCCTTTTGTTGTTCTTTTCTCCTCTGAAGTAGCATACCTTTGAAGTTAACTAGCAGTAGAAAAGAAACACAGAAAGGAAAAGACGTAAACATATCTGATGAAAAACTTCATTGAAAATGTATCATATAATTAATTGACTACAATACCACAAGGCATCCACAAGCTAATAGGCTAAATTTAATAAGAATCTGAAAACTGAATAATTTATTTCACTTAGCCGAAATGTGGAGTGAATAATTAGTCAACGTGATTGATTTTGAAAAACTATCTTGTAACGGATAGTAGTATTTTTTGTTGTTGTCGTTGTTGAGATTTTAATATCTAAGTGCAAATTACCAATTTTACTATATCATGGATTCGAATTACTTCTTGGGACCCACCCAGAGAGTTGTGACACACCAACGAATGCTAAGCTAACACAGATATCCTTCATCTCACGGCACCACAACATCTACTCACCACCTCTTCACTTTTTCCACTCAGTTCCAACGCTAGCGAACAGAGAGCACATGTCCGAGCTACCGAAATTGGTGTTTCGGGCCGAAAACTCTCAATGATAGGTAACTTCTACCGTGTCCAAACAAACACTAATGGATTTTCAAGTATTGGTTTCTAGGGATTTGATTGATTGGTTACAGGATTTCATCATGAGCTGACATTGGTTAGAAAGCCATTGGAAAACCTTGGAGTACTGGACAGCAGTTTCGTCCTAGTTTGGGACTCTTCACCAGTACGCACTCACCGGGGCTCGAACCCAGGACCTTCTGGCTACAAGGCGAGCTCGTAGGCTCGGGTCCCAGCCCCGATGGGTACGTACTGATGAAGAGTCCCAAACTAGGACGAAACAGCTGTCCAGTACTCCAAGGTTTTCGAATGGTTCTCTAACCGATGTCAGCTCACGATGAAATTCTGTAACCAAACGCTAATGGACTTCAGAATTACTTACACTATGATGCCGTAGGACACGAGCATTTCTACAGAGATAGAGATGATCGAATACGCAGAGTCGCCACACATCCTCACCTCGAAGAAGCCAGGTCCCACAGATGCAGAGCAAAGCTGAGCGCATCTAAGCATCGTGAACCCCAATTTCGACAACCAGACTGACATCGTAACGGCGTCAGAGATGACGTTAGTTGGTGTATGCCAACATGTTTCTCACTAAACGATTAGGGATTTCATATGTCACACCCACTCCAGTACTTGTACAGCTACCTAGATGTACGAAACTGTTGACAACTTCAAGCGGTTCACATGCAAGAGGGAGTGCAGGTACAAACTCCTGCCAATCTTGCAAAAATACTTTGCACTTAGACTGTGCAGAGCACAATATACTCGATCTACTAAATACCAAAAATGGTAATCATGAAAGCAAGGGAAACATCGTGATGTTGCATACTGCTGATTGACTAATGAGTAGTTGGATACACGTAGTGCCTGACAACCAACAAGATCAAAGTGATCTAAACACCTGACAGCCGTTTTACTCGTTCGAGGACAAGTTTATCAGCGGTGTATACTCACTACTAAAGTATGCCAACAAAGTGTGTTTTTAGGATGAATGAAAGCCAAAACACTTGTAAAAAACCATAACAATTATAACTTACTATAATTGCCCCTATAATAAAATAACTGACGCTGGTCTAAATGAATAATGTCTGTACACACATTGTCTAAGAATGACTGGTCATGGGAAACGATCAAAAGTGTTTTTTTCCATTTCTGAAGATAGCTAAAGAGAAGAAAATAAAGACAGACAATATGTAGCTTAAGTAAGGCGTATATACAAGGAAGTCTGATAAGTGTTCACGATGCTAACGAAAACACTAAAAATACAAATACAGTATACATAGACTACAAATCTATTAAATATGATATGCTATGACTGATGTTAAATGAAATCCATTCTTCTCTTGAAATGCATTTATACTTTTTGAGAAAGAAACCCAATTCACTGCTTTCATGTAGTAGGGAACAGTCAACAAAAGTTAAACAATGGATACGGAGGGGTCATCTGCAGCAGCTTAAGAACTCTGAATTTTAACTTTATGTGCACATGGACAAGTGGTGTATAAGTTAGTCTTTCTCCGGTGACGGCTGATCCTGACATTACTTTTCTGCCTTGTGAGTTGGAGTCCAAAGTTACGGGGTTTGATAAATCGCCCTTCTGTACAGCTTCCTGCTTTAGTTTGGATGTATGGATTGTGAAGCTCGACTGCAATAATGAAAATTTTCCTCTCCTTTTGCGTTCCCAGTGGAACATAAGACTTCAAGTTCTAAGCTTTGAAGTTTCAGTAGCAGCGGGTGTTGTTTTTTACAGAGTGAGGTTGCTACTTTCACGCCGAACCTCCCCTTACCACCGATTAGTAAATTAAGTGAGGTTTAAGGGTGCATTAGCCGGAAATCGAACCCCAAACTGTGTGTGTGTGTGCGTGTGGTTGATGGAGATCCTAGCACTGAACCACCTACACGTAATCAAGATTACAATAAAATGGTTTGTCAGTGATGTATGAGTAGTTGTTTATCAAAGTGCTGCGCTTTGGCCCAGTGACTTAACTACTCAACTTTCAGTCCACGAGTAACATGTTCAAATCTGCCTCCAACTATTTCAATTTGATCAACTAGGTATTACCATTAACCCTCTCATGTGACAAATACGGCTTATATAGTCTGAAAAATGAATAACCTGTTCTGGTTAACTGAATTGTAATAACAAGAGTTGTTTATATCAAAAGCGAATAAAACTCACTTGTCCAACCATATAACTGCGTTCAAGTCTAAATGATTTGTCGGTTCATCCAATAATAAAAGTGTTGGTTCTAAAAACAAAGCTCTAGCCAAGCTGACACGCATTCTCCAACCACCAGACAGATCTTTGGTTGCTCTGTTCATCATGCTTTTTGTAAAGCCTAAACCGGATAATATACGTCTTGCTTTGCCTTCTGCTGCATCAGCTTTGATTGCGACAAGTTCTTCACAGACCTTGTAAAACACAAAGAAAAAACAACTGAAATGATATTCACCAGAAAAGCAATCAGTGTTGGCAACATAACTTTGCTCTAAACAGTAATCTACGATACTACGTGGAATTGGTTTGCTGACAAGAATTTAATTTAACCTGGAAAAGATTGGTACGATAGATATAATACCAGTAGGGTGCAGCAGGTCGGGCGTGAGGACAAATACTCGCCGAAGAAATTGGCTAGGGGTCGCGCTATGTCGTGAATTGGCAGAAGTTAGAATTCATGGACCATTGGATCGGGTCCCAGTAGCTTAACGGTATACGAGCTCGCCTTGTAACCAGAAGGTCCTGGGTTCGAATCCCGGTGGATGCGTACTGCTGAAGAGTCACAAACTAGGACGAAACAGCTGTCCAGTACTCCCAGGTTTTCCGATGGTCCTCTAACTAATGTCAGCTCATGATGAAAATCCTGAAACCAATCAAATTCCTACCATTATAATAACTCAGAGATGCAAAGCTTTTGTTTTCATATCTTGCATCCCAAGTGGAACATAGAGCTTCACGCTTTTCCGAAGTTTCAGTAGCAGTGATGTTGCTTTTACGGGAAAGAGTTTCCACCCTCATTTCAAACTTTTCCTCTCGTTGTCAGTTTAAAATCGGCCAGAAAACTAGGTGACGACACTTAGGAGTGCGTCAGCCGGGAATTTAACCCAGTTTTTTGTTTAGGTTCAACTACCCGGAACAGATTTTTTATGTACCAGGTTAAGAGCCACACTTACCGTGTGTGGGCTGATTATACTACCCAGTTACCCGTGCTGAATTAGGTGGAACGGGACTCGAACCTGTGACCACCTGTCAACTGAAAACCAAGTACTTAAGCTAGTGAGCTACATCGAACCCAGATCTATCGCGTGACCGGAGAACATTCTACTACCGACATACTAAGAGGGTAAAGCGTGGATTCTATACTCAAAAATAAATTACCGATATAACTAGGTACAGTGGACAATAGGGTTACACCTACTATATGTGAGAGCTTATCACATTACCTTCCTTCCTACAGCGAAATAAAAGAAGGATGGCTGAAAAGAATGATAAATACTACAGAGAACTAGTCTCTTTATCACCAAAAAAAATATGATTATTCTCACAGTAGACCATTTATGATTTACAAGACATGAATCGAAGCAGCACTAAAATACTGATGAACGACAAAGCTCTCTGAAAATTAGATTCTTTTAACATCGAGGTGATAGTTGTCAGATTGAAGAATTAAGCCAACTGAGTGTTACAAATACAATGACAGTACAACTACTTAGACACAATTCAGGTGTCTATGAGGCAGATGAAATACGCGAGATATTAACAGTGTAAGATTAGCCTCATGAGTCAGTGATTCATTTGTAAAATGCTCACCAACCACGCATGTGGTCCCAGGGTTCGTTTCTTGGCCAGCATTAAGCTCGGTAGAGACAGAATGTTAGCTGTGAGACTGGCAACGCCATACTCGTAAAAAACAACACTACCGCTACTGAAACTTTAAAGTTTAAGCTTGAAGCCTCGTAAGTTCTACTCGGAACACAAAGGAAATAACAAAAACCGGTAAACGATGAACTCTAGGGATGAAGAAATGAAAAAGTTCAGAAAAGTAATTTCATTTTTGACTTACTTCATTTAGCCTATCAACTAAAGATTGACTATGCTCTGTTTCTAAACGACTTTTTATCTTTTCAAATTCTTCCAGTAACTCCAATCGCTTTTTATCTGATTTCAGGACCATTTCAAAAGCTGGTGTTGAATCAGCTTGAACTTCTGTAAAATACATTTTTTAAAAATATTGCAGTAGTAAGATAAAAGAGTGTAGAAGAGATTTAGAACAACACATAATAATACATAAGGATAAAGAATTCAATCAATACGAGCAAGAACAAACACTACTACTTGATAATGTCACATAAGAATTATTGTAATGATAAGAATACACAAGCCATTAATTTGCATTATCCACTAATTACATGCAAAATCATCTTATACCCACGGTTTACTCGCAATTAAGAAGACAAACCAAACATTTATTATCAAGAGTTCATTTGTAGGGATTTGACTTGTTTTAAGCTCCATCACAGATTGATATCAGTTAGAGAACCATTGGAAACCAGTATAGAGTACTGGACAGCCGTTTCGTCCTAGCTTGGGACTCCTCGGCAGTACACATACACACACTGGGGTTCGAATCCAGGACTTCCCGGTTACAAGGTAAGCTTGTAAACAAACTTCAAACGAATCAAACGCCTACAAATGAACTCTTAAAAATTAATTTGATGGTTGAGTATTGAACTTGGCTTGTGGTTTATCTGCAATTCCTGCTTCCTTGAAAATTTTAATTAGATTTAGAGTGTTCCTTGCACGAGATAGTGGTCTGAGGCGACGTCCGCTCCTCTTCTTAATTTTGTGTCCAGTAGGCTGCGTCTCCACTTCTTTGAGCAATATTGAGATGAAGTCAAGTTGGTTTTCGGTTCACCCATGCAGCCTTGTGGATATCCTTGTGCTTGTATACGCTGCCACCAATTACTAGTTCATTGAAGGCGCAGAAGTCAGCGAAGAGTTCTGCATTTTCATTCATTTCTCCGAGAGCTTCTCTACCCATGATGAGTTCTCTTTCTGTGTTGTCTGGTCCCAGTTTGGCGTTCATGTCTCCCATTAGTATTTTAATGTTATTTTATTATTAATTCGTTCGAAAATAGGTTTATAGTCAGTTAACTGTTTGTCCTGTGTGACATAAGTCTGCTAACCCACAAATCCACGTTATTTATCTGTAACACAGGCTATATATTCACTGGAATACTGAGAGCAAAGAAATAAATTTATATTCTATGGTAAATGACAGAAAATATTAAGCCTTCTAATATAGTTATTCATGTAGGAAGGTAGACAGACAACTGACTGACTGACTGTACATTAGAAACAAAACAATATGCACTAACCTTGTTCACAAAGAAGTATGTCAATATTAGCAGGGATGTTGATCGCTCGAGTAGCAATATGACGAAGTAATGTCGTTTTCCCGTAGCTGAATTCAACAGTAAAAAGGAAACATTTAATATAATCAATAACTTTTTCAAAATGGATTGTGTGAAAAAAGGACAGAAAAAAAGTTACAGTGACCATTTCCTAAGCCCGTCATTGTGTACATGTACAAAAAAGAACACTCAGTAATCAAGCATGCACCATTGTACTGAATTTCATACCAAATCTATATAGTAAATATAATATTAGACTATTAAGATAGAAAAGGGAGTACTGAGTAGAACTCGGGTAGATTATTGAATATGAGGCGTAGTATTACACTAGAAATAATAACAATAACAATCATAGGGGACTGAGAATGCATTTATAGTGTAAAGTATCCCCAATAACTGATGACTAAAAGCAAGAACAAGTAACTAACTAACTAATATAACATTGGTTACAGGATTTCATCATGAGCTGACATCGGTTAGAGAACCATTGGAAAACTTGCAGGGAGTACTGGATAGCTGCTTCGTCGGCCTAGTTTGGAACTTTTCATCAGTACGCACCCACCAACGGGGCTCGAACCGAGAACCTTCTGGTTACAAGGTGAGCTCGTAAACCATTGAGCCACTAAGCCCCTATCCAATGACCAGACCATGAATTCTAACTTCTTTCAATTCATGACATAGTGCGACTGCTAGGCAACGTCTTCGGCGAGTATTTGTCCTCACAGCCGACCTGCTGTATCCTACTGGTCACGACTTCCCACTAGAACCCCAGGTAACCACGTCCCTGAATAGGGCCAGTCGTCAGTGAGCATCTCGCTGATATACAAGTATTGGATTGTAAGGATTTGATTGGTTGGTTACAGGACTTCATCATGAGCTGACATCGGTTAGAGAACCATTGGAAAATCTCGTGGGTGCATACTGTTGAAGAGTCACAAACTAGGACGAAACGACTGTCAAGTACTCCCAGGTTTTCCAATGGTTCTCTAACCGACGTCAGCTTATGATGAAATCCTGTAACCGATCAATCAAATCCCTACAAACCAATACTTCAATATAACATTTATTTTTCACTCGCGGATTTACAAGGGGAAACCGAAAAGTTGGCAGAGGAGGCAGTAAAGGCTGGATGTCAAGTAACACTGAGAAGACAGAAGTGATGAAGATGCCTGGCTGACAAACAACAAACACTAATCACTATGAGTAGGAGAGATCTACAGGAAATCAATTCTCCCACTTACCTAATCTGGGCAGCATTTTTTTCAACTACAGGGGACAAGGATGATAATGTCAAAGCCAGTTAGGATAAGACAAGCGTTCATTACTCTGAAAATCAGTATGCAGATCTACAGTACTTAGTAAACAGAATAACATCCGAATTAGCATCACTAATGTCGAATCAATGCTTCCATATGATTCAGATACTTGACTCACACGTGAAAAATAGTATTTCTAACAGACTGCTGAAGATTTTCATAGATACCTACTTTCGACAGATACTGTAGAACAAAGAGCCAGTCATAACGGATAAGCAACCAGGGACTTTTAGCAATAAACCATCCAACAAATTTGCAGAAGGGAATGGAGATGGATTGGAGAAACGATAGGACGACATCCAATTTGAATCGCATCCCAAGCCCTAGAGCAGAACCCCAAATGGTTAGAAACAAGCCAGGCATCCAACGGTGACATAGAGAAGATCATACGAAGAGGAAATGGAAGCTTACAGGAAACCATGGACCCAATTGAAAGTGACTGTGAATAAAGTGCACTGGAGGTGTGTCACTGAAGCTGTATCTCTCACTTGGAACGCAAAGAATGAATAATAATATTTATTTTTCAGCATAAATAAATTATTTATGGCGCCTGATGACATTAACCAGTTTCCGAAATTGAATTAGATGCGAAGCGGTATTCAACACTAGGACGTGCTAGCTGAAAGTTGATTGTTTGAGCCAATAAGCCTAGTCGATTTCGGAAATATTACTGTAAAAACTTGGATTTCCTGTCGTAGACAACTACAATAAGACTGACTGTCTGACTGAGTATTCAAAGCAGAGCTTTGCACAAAAGTGCAGCATTTCAAGTAACCACACTTCATAAGTACACATATGTAAAGGAAAAACCACTGAGGAATTACAATGAGCAGAAATATGCAGGAGAAAGAATAAGTATATGGGGAAAAATAAGGACCTAATGAATCTGAAGGATCACAAAGAGTGAATGCATCCATGCAATTGAGAACGATTTCGAGCCACGTCACCTATAGTCTACACTCTCTCACAGTCAAAAACCTCATGAACTGATGCCATGTTTTGATTTGATCACCTCCAAGTTTCATCCAACCTAATTCTATGCCAGCCAACACCGCTGGCTGACAGCTAAAATAGAAACACATAGTGATTAAAAACCAAGTGGATAAAAATACAAAAATGAGCAATTCTACTAAATAAAACAAAGTGGAGATGTGTTGTTGAAGCCCTCTCTCTGTTCCACTCGGAACCCAATGGAATAATAATAATAATTAAATAAAACACGAAATATTATCAAACACTTAAACCAACAATTAATTATTCAATTATGGTTAGTAGTGCAACCAGAGCGTAGTCGTAGCAGCAGTAGTAGTATAATCCACTTACCCATTTGGTCCCACCAATCCATAACGACGACCATGAGTAATTTGTAAAGAAGCATTAACGAATAAATCTTTGCCTTTAGCAGCAATTGAGAAATTTTCAACTCGTATATCAAGTTGATTATCCAGTTGTTCCGATTTTGAACTACTTCCGGCCTAGATTTTGTTTTTTTGTTTTGAAAAACGCCAAAAAAGGGATCAGATTTATGTATATACTTATCAAAATATATTGCATACAAGGTAAAATCAATCTACAAAGTAGATAGGTCAAGACACTGGACATAATTCTATACAGAAAAATACAAGAAAGTGATTGAATTCAACCTATGAAGACAATGATGGTAAATAATTAGAATAAAGAACAAAATAAAAGAGGCGCCATCTGTTTTTGAAATGATTCTGCCTAGATAAGTGAAAGAAGTAACTTCCTTTAGATTTCTCTCGTTGATGACGATTAGCGATTGTAGTTGTTGCTTAGGTATCTTTGTCACCTCTGCTTCTTTATCGTCACTTGAAGTCCTGTTTTCGCTGCCTGCCTCTTCTATCAACTTATTGGTTTTCACTTGCAAGATCTTCGAGTGCATGTAGCATTAGACAGAATTCATCCGCGAAATCTAGGCCTTCTAGGGTCTTTTTTTAGAACAAACGTATACCCTTATTGCTGTCCACAGTTTGGTGCATGATCCAGTTCACCACAATCAGGAAGATCATCGGTTGTAGTAGACAATTTTGTCTTAGACCTGACATCATTTTAAACGCTTCACTAAGCTTCCCCTTTAAGAATCACTTGGAAGGTGGCATCATCACTTAGCTATTGAATGAGGTTTATGAAGGCTCACGGCACTGAACTCCGTAGTATTGTAGCAGTTACTAAATTATTTCATGGTCGACGCCGTCGATGAAGTTGAGGGAGAGAGTTGACTGCCATTCTATGCTTTGTTCGATGATGATGATAAGTAGAGTTGCATTTCAGTCCGCACATGATCTGCCTTTCCTAAATCCAGGGTGTTCTAGGCGGAGTTTTGTAACCAGAGCATCTTTAGATCTCTCTAGGATGATGCGGCCAAATATTTAGCTTGGTGTGGACAGAAACATGATTACGCGCCAGTTACCGCCCTTCTTTAGAAGTCTGACAAGGTAGGTACCTTATCTTCTTTCCAAGTATTCTACAATAGTGGCATGAGCATATGCGCTGAGGTCATAAATCATACACCATCTTAAAGTTTTCTTCATCTTACATCTGATACGTATGCAGCATGAGGTTCACTTCAGCAAATGGTGGCGGTTTACTACCTCAACCACTAGTCTGTCCTATGTTAACCAGAATTTTACGCTCTATTGAGGCTCTTCAGATGGTAATCCAATTACATGGAAGTCGTAATTCAAGAGCACTCATAATCTAAAAGCTCTAACCTACTCCTACTGAGATTAAGATAAGACTTAAACCGTAAGGATATTATATATATATATATATCGTTACGAAACAAAGTAAACAAAAACACATGATTAACACGTAGTCACATCTACACGCAAAAACAATTTACCAATGAGTGGTGGCGAAGACGATAAGCTACAAACAGAGTTTAATTGATCTTAAATGAGAATTTAAAACAACAAAATGGAGTGAACAAGGCAAGAATATATTGTGCAGGATAAGACGACGTTATTGTATTTCGTTGGTTGTTCTCTGCTCTGTACAACCAAGAACAATCTAACATTTTATTATTCTGCACAATATATTCTTCTTGTTTTGTTCAAATTTGTCAAAGGATACAATTGTATGAAAATAAAATGAGGTTTATAAAATGGCTATATTACCTGAGAAAGTGCAAAGTTGTCAAGTGTCCCAGACGATGCGATAATCTTTGCTTTCGATGTTTCAACAAGCTTGTCAAACTCTTCTTTCTTTTTAAGCTTCTTCAATTCTTTCTTTGACACCTTTATTTTAACAGTACCAGTCTCACTCTCTGCCTTCCCTTCATTATCTGCTGGTCCTTCAACCTTGTCAGTCTTTTCGTCAATCACAGTGATTAAACTCGCACTTTTAACGGAATTATCATCAACTACAGGCGGTTCTACATCTTTAACCTCTGGTTCAGCGACAATGTTCACAGGTTCATCTGTTTCAATTTCTGCACCACTATTTGTATCTTCAACATTATCTACTACTTCGTCGTGATCTACAGTCATATCAGAGAATGCAACAAATTTGGTTTTTCGAGAATCAAAATTATCTATTTCATCCTCTAAAGAAACATTTGTCAAAGCTTTAGTTAAATCATCGAAATCTTCGTTTTCACTATTAAATCCATCGTCAATTTTCTTCTTCCCAGCTTTCTGTTTCTTTTTCTTTCCACCTACATTTTGATTTTGAACAGGTGGTTGTTCTTCTTGCTGCTGCTGTTGTTGTTGTTGTCGTTGTTGTTGTTGCTGTTCGCCGCCTTTCTTTTGCTTCCCACGACCAGCTTTCCTTTTCTTTGTATACAAGTCATCATCGACTTCTTCAGGTTTTAAAGACTCTTCTTCATCAGATTCATAAGGTTTTCGTGAATCTTCTGTAGCGTTGAATTTCGCTTTGGTTTTTTGTTGGGCATCAGCATCATTTACTCGGGCTGGTTCCATTTCATTCTGATCACCTTTACCTTTCTTTTTCGCCTGCTTTTTATTTGACTGAGAATTCGGTTTTTTCTCGTCATCTGAATCAGCCCGCTTACCACCAGCATTTCGTCCGGCTTTTCTTTTCTTTTTGTAGAATTCATCATCAATATCATCTGACTTAAGAGATTCATTACTGGATTTATGATTGTCTTTCTGTAGTTGTTTATTCCCAGACTTTTCTACAAATTTTGCTTCATCTATATCATTGTTCAGTTGTTGTTCCTTTCCTTTCTTTTTCTTATCTTTTTTCTTATTTGTAGTCGGTTCATTTTCTTCTGTATCTGAGACAACCTGGTTGACATTTTTCCCCTTATTTTTTTTATTACCCGACTTTGTATTCTGCTTCTCATTGTGGTTAATTTCTGGTTTCATATCTTCATCATCATCATCACCTTTATTTCTGGCATTTCTTTTTGGAGGCATCTTCAAAACAAGTTATCGTTGGTTGTCTGTAGATATGTGTTTAGATCACAGATACTTCGTTGCTTTGGGGAATATCACCGTAAACGTTCTAGAAAATACAAAAATAAATACTCTCCATGAATAAAGGCACTCAGAATCTACACATGTATCAGACAATTATAAGTGAACTATACACAATACTGTTTTCTTAAAGGAGAAAGTCACTCATTTCAAAGTTTTGTTTATCTCTACACTTTATTAATACCTTGTATCTTCTGAGAGTTCATCAAGAAAAGGCCCCTATAAACGATCTAGTATGGCCGAGGTTGGGTCGATTTCAGTCTTTCTTTCGAAATGTTCTTATGTGGTTACGGGCTCATAGTCTCTTCCAGGTAAGTCATATTCACTGCCTTCACGTGACAGGAGTATTCCTCATCATATGATAGAGCGAATGACAACCAGAATGGTGGAAAAACAGGTTTACCTAGAGGAGCTTGAAAACCCTGATTCCAAACCCATGGCCCACATGGACTCCATCATTCGAAGGGATTGAATGGCGTATGAACCTGTTTTGGCCACCAGCAACCATGGTAATGCAGCTCCACTGCCTCGTTGTTCACACTGCAATTCAAAGGCTCCAGAGAGGTATCTTAAGACAACCACCTGCTTCGGTCTGGATGCACGGGCAGTATCCCAGCCTTCGCACAAACTATGACACATCTCTTGATACCCATAATGTACCAAGTTTGTTTTAAATGGAATCAGTAATATAGATAAAAGGCTACTAAAGTAATACCAGCGTCTACATCTTAATACTTCATAGCTAAAACAAGTTCATTCGTCACATAGAAAACTGTTTCTTCAATCACACAAAGTATATTAAGCACAAATTCCAAAACAGAATAATATAAATAAAGGTTCTGTAGAGAATTGAATAACTGGTACAATAGTAAGTCAATGTCACTTAAATACATTTAGTTAGAACTCAGTTGCCCTGAACAGATCTTTCATGACAACAAAGTGTGTCTATCTTTTTGGGGTCCCCATAGCTGTTACCTTGACATGATGGTCAGGCTTACATATCGCGATGACCCGACGAGTCACACTGTTCCTGGTCATTTGGACAGCGGTTAGAATACAAGCGGAGATGTGGCTCATTGGTTTAAGCACTCGGCTCTCAGTCAATGGGTCACGAGTCCGAGTCACGCTCTACCTACTTCAGCATGGGCAGCTGAGTAGTATTACCAGCCCTTACAGTAAGTGTGGATGAATGCAAACAGTTACCAACCCACTGTAAGTTGTTCACTGTTTATGGTCTGTAGGTGAAGTCGTACTGCTGGTGAATAGGGACGTAACAACAATAAGGTGTTCCTTTCAGATGAACAGCAAGCCAGTATGCTGCTCTCAGCTCTGCACAGCGGGGTTTAGGAAAGGCCAACTCTGAAAATTATATACTCCGACTTACATTGCGACGGTTCGTAGCCAGCGGTAAGATATTAAAACTGACGCAACTCCAAACAGGCCGTGTGTGACAGGCCTCAAGCAGTAGTTTGCTGGGTTTTGCGGTCAAGCAACACTAATACTTCTTCTGTTTCAGGTACTCCAAGAAGAAACCAACCTCCATTGTGTCGGTAACCGGGAAGTAATAACTTCCCATACTTCCAAAAGCACACAAAGCCTTCCGGATCACCAATTTTTACGGATGGCTGCTGCTGACTAATACGTCAAATATCGTTTTTGTATGAGGTTGCAATTTGCAATGAAAGAATCACTCGAGAGCAAATGTATGGAGTCATTAAGTGTCAATCCCCAAATTTTCCAAAAGTACCCTCCAATCCAGCAAGTATAGTTATACGCGTAATTTCGAACATCAGATGAAATAACCACCTGAATGGTACTATCTTGACCACGTAACTTTCTAAAATGTTTTACTATATCGCTTATTGAAGTTCGTGTATTTAAACACGATGGTCATGTAACCGACTAAGATGAACGACCGCATGAAGTCACTTTTATGGATATGCGCTATCCACATTTTAATTCAATTTTTTTAAATTTTTTACGAGTTGATCACGGATTGATATCATTTAGACAACCACTGAAAACCAGGGAGCACTGGACAGCTGTTTCATCCTAGTTTAGGAATCACCGGCAGTACGCACCCACTGGCGTTCGAACCCAGGACCTCCCGGTTACCATTCGACCTGGCATCAGTCCATGGAATCTTTTAAAGTTGACCCCTTTTTGGGACCGTCGAGATGCTAAGGACCGACGGCTTGAGACAATTGGTGATATAACTCAGAATCGTTGTCGATGCATTCACTCTTTACGATCTTTTCCATGTTACTACTTTCTCACTCACATTTCCGTTTATTATAGGTCTTTTGATTCTGTTTCGTTTATTCAGCCTTTGTGTGCTACATGGAGTGTGACGACTGGAAGTGCTGAACTTCTGTGCACAGTTTTATGCTGGAACTCAGTCAGGCATACTTAATGCCTACAAAAGTCCCCATTTACATTCTTGATTTCAAAGGGGCTGTAGACAACTGGTGATATGGCTCAAAATCGTTCCCGATGGCGCAGATGCATTGTGACTTATAATATCCAGTAAAATTATATTGTTCTTACATGTTACTAATCGTTTTGCCTTATATCTCTGTTGTGCATTTCTTTTTACTTTCTTCTCTTGCTTTGTGTGCTAAGTGAAGTGTGGTGACTCGAACTGCTGCACATTTGTGCAAATTTCTACGTTGAAACCAGTCATTCACGTAGACAGTAGGGTCCTAGTAAACAAGTAATCCGATAGGATGTAGTCTTATGAAAACTTTAAGTGACAACTCAAGAACGCTCGAGATATATTTCCCACTTAAGAACATAAACTGTATTTTCATTACAGGATTTTATTAGTAACCCATATGATGAAAGAATGAAGCAGTTGAACATGTAGATTGTTTCATTTGGATGAGAAGTTGCACTAACTCCGGCAGATTGACAGCTGATAAAATCTCACCACGGATAAACAATGATTGCTTGGTTTTCGTCAAATCTCACCACTTATGGTAGCAGAGATACGTCTAATTACTGAGTAGGACTCAGATCTACTGTTCAACAGTTCCCTGTTTTTTCATATGGTTACGAACCATGGTTATTAAAGTAGGGGGGCTACGGCTAGAACTTACTACACAAACAAAACAAGTACAAGCTAAATAATATTGCTACCGATAAGTTGTAGCTAACACTGACTGAATGAATCACTGGTACACAGAACTAGATATTAAAACTGAGTGCAATAACTGTACTTGCAAGTTTTAAGACATACTTATAGTTCAAATTTAGGACTGGGATGCTAAAAACTTATCAATAAAATATGTTACCAGGTTAGGTACACTACGAAAATGTGAATAGGGCACTTTATAGCCAGCACAATTTGAGTGGAACGATAGTAAGAATCTTCCACTTCAGCATCCCACTCTTCATTTTCTGGAAAACCGTGAACAAAATCAATAAACCCGTGGCGCAAATGCCTCCTATTTGGTAATAAGACAAGAGATTTTAAAACTTATTAATTCTACTTCTGTTCATCAGAAATCAGTTAAATCTTTATTGTAGAATCATAGGACTACAGTTCTATTTCTGTACATACCAGTACAAAGCTCGACATCAATGGAGGGCTTCATATGCTTTTGGAAGTGCATGGGCGGTTGTTACTTCCCGACTGCCCACACCGTGAAAGCTTTTTTCTTGGGATGCCTGGAACAGAAAGATAATTAGTGTCGCATGACCGCAGAGCCCAAGGGACAACTTCTTGAAGCCGGTCACATACGGCCTGTTTGAACTGGCTTTTAGATTTGGTCCCGTATTAGTAACTCACCGCCAGCTACGGACCACCGTAAGGTAAGTCAGGATGTACAATCTTTGGGGTACACCTTTTCTAACCCTGTTTCCAGAGTAGACAGAATAGCTGGCATGCTGGTCATCGGAGGGAAACACCTTAATGCTGTTACATCTTCAGCAGTAAGACTCTGTCCACAGACCCCCACTGACTGACTGACTGCATAGTGTAGAAAATCTTACACTATGCCGGTAACTGGTTTTAGTCTAGTTGCTATCCTAACAATCTTCCTCGCATGGTAGGACCTGCAGGAACATTAGTTCCAGCCAGTATAGCTTGTTGGGTGATTGCGTTATACAAGTCCGACCATCACGTCAAGGTAGAAGCTATCGGTCGGGACTCGACATCAATAAACAGTAAGTTTCATACCTTCCTTAGAGGTATCGACGTCTACGAGGAGGTCAGCTACAGAAAAAACCAAGAGGATCATTCCGTGACCATTAAGGGGAGATCCCAAAAGGCTATTAATCGTTTGGCTAATAACTAGAATATGAATTACAACTGTGACAAACAGTAATACTGCTAAACGACTAGGGGTTGGGATCCTGAGTACGAATTGAAAATGAATAATGCTGAGAAAATTCACCCGACTTTGCCTACTATGACCAACTATTTTGATGCGCTAGTGAACACAGTGCACCATCAAACTCAAAATGATGGATTATAGTTTGGGAATCTTTTTTGATGTTCACAGACATTCAGTCAGTTGACTCGATGACTGTTGACTAAATCATCATTATTGAGTATTAATACTTAGTGAACAACACTAAGAAAAAACTAAATAATCATCCTTGTGTTTATTATGTCAATCGCTAATTTAGTTACCTACCTACGATGTCTTATCCTTATTTTAGCAAATAGTCCTAGAATGCGAATTTAATGTGACACTACTGACTGATAAATAAAGCGATGTATTGTATCAGCTGTAAATATTTCATGTAGACTGGGATAGTAGTCTTATGGATGATGTAGACTGTACAGAAGGTTAATTACAATCCGATCGGCTAGCACATTGCTCCATAAAATAGGAAAACAAGAGAAAAAATAAACCTACCACCTCTTTATTGCACGGACGGGCAGCCAAATTAAACTTTGAACTTAGACATTTAAGTTAACCTTTATAGGCGGCTAAAGAAGTATCACTTTGGAGGTTGGTTATATTCAACAAGCAAATAACCTTTACGTCAATCGAAAGGTGCTCCGCAAGTGCCCCCAGTCCACTTCAGTAGGTCAGTACGGCTAAACTCATGTTACAGCAAGCAATTACTTATTTCAAGCTTTTATGATTTAGATTCTGAATTTATCTCAGTCAACAGTGGTTTACAATGTCAAAACACTTGGTGGAAAAGAATAATGATACAGACGCAAGGGCTACAGAAAATGCAACTGCGGGTAAGAGAATCCAAGCAACTTAAATGTGTGCAGCTTAAAATATCGTATACTGATGCAGACTGAGTATGACATAAACACGGGTCACATCGCAAGAACTCAGGCTATTTTATCTTGCTGTACCAACTGACTCTTAGAAGCTGAGGACATCTGGTGGCAATGAAGAAAGAACCCACATATTAAATTGACTAACGGCGTCAAACAGAACAGAAATCTTAAGACCAAGTGAGATTCAACTGAATGTACACAGAACTCAACTATTTAATGATTTTAACGTGCTGATGTGGTCCGTTGAAACCAGAGCATGGCGGCTTCCTTTTGCTTGGTGTTTACTGTGGCCTATGCACGCCAATAAATAATCACTTTTTAAGACAAAACAAATGATCTTGAAATCGTTTATACGTGTCCTTTCAGCTAACGGAAACCAAGTATCTGTCTTACTGAAGTGTGTAACTCGTGGCACACTTGCTACAGCGTTCGTTAAGCAGACATCCAGGCATGACTGTGTTGTGGATCCTACCTTAGGTATAATATTTAAACCCCAATTTATTGTATTTTATTCTCGTGAGTCTCCATCATCGATCTCTTCAGCCGCAAGCATAAGTCTCTGCAGTGAATTTGATGTGCTTGATAGTTGAGTCTAGCTTTCAGTGCATGACAAAGTTTTAATGGGACTGCAGGTGCATTTCACACTTTAACAGCCCCAATTAAAACTAACAAGATATTATGAAAGGTCAAGTTAGACTTAAAGGAACAGTAAGTACCGGCGGAGTTCGATCGCACCTATGACCTTGAAACGTTCAGTGAGAAAATGAAACCTGGTAAATTGTAGTGTAATCATAAATAATGTTTAATGAAGTGTTGTGTTATTAAATGCAGTATCTGGGATCAACAGAGTAATTTAACCACATTCTATGCATTTAATTATCTAGGTCTTCTAACACTAACAATAACCCTAATCTTTCCTTTATCTAATCCTGATGTGAAAATATCCCTAAACTAACCCTAGTCTAACTGAAAACAACCCTTGGTAAAGTTAAATTATTACAGCCAAAACCAAAGTGACCTTGAATAAATAATCATAATTCAGACACAAAAAGTTGCATAATCGTTGAAAAGTACACCAAAAGATATTGCAAACATGATATTACGCTGTATAGTTGTAGCCTATGTGTTGTAAGAATGTCTCCTAGTCACTATACAGATGAGCTATGGGGAAATCGTGACATGCGCGAAATATTCATTCATCCAGGTGATTGTAGGTCATGGTACTTTAAGATCTATTGATATTTCTGATATTAGTCTTCAACCCATTCCTAACTCTAGCCATAGTCCTAACTTTAACCCTAAACCTAACCTTAACCTTAGATCCTAAACCTTAATCTTTAAAGTTAACCCTACCTAACAGTGTACATTTGTAGAAAAAGTACCTAGTAAATAAACGGAATACTGTGTTTACGCTCTTCAAGTTCAAAAAGGCAGACATGATTTTATTTGGAAAATTTTATAGAACTCTTTGAATCTGATCGGTTCTTAATGGTTAACTTTTGAAAGACCTTGACTTTGGCTACATTGCTTTAAATTTGATATAAGTATAAAACTTGGGCACTGTGGTAGAGTATAACTCCAGAATGGATAAGATTTTATTTTAATAAATCACAGTGTTGATTATCATATGATTATGAGCAATAGTTTGTGCTCGAAACATCATCAGTTAATATAATTGTAC